GTAACTAGCGTTTTCATGTAAATGGACAGAACACAGGATTTTCTTCGGACACGTCTACCCAATCCACTTAGTGCTGATTGCCACACCTGGGAATGAAAGGTGGCAAACCCTGGGTGCGGGCTACCCTATTTGACCTTGGAGGATGCAAGGAAAATGATTAACAGGAAGGATTCCAAGCTGTCACCAACCTCAGAACAGTTCCAAAGCAGGAGGGTTTTAGTCCATTTTTCCCTCCAGGAGTTACCTGGCTGCTTCTTAGAGGTATTATTACTGTTCTGCAAGTTGATACTCTGCCCCAGAAAAAAGGGAGTTGACCATCTGAAAAAAAAAGCCACGTGCTTGTCTCGTCATTCTCATCTCACAAAAGCGAAAAGTGTGGTTAACATCCAGACTATTTAAAGTGTGGCTGCTTTCTGGGAAATTCCATCTGTACTTCTGCATGGTTACCTACTGTTCCCTATTACCAAAGCCTTAGAAAACTTTCTCAGTTCCTCAGAAACTGCTTTGTGGTGCAAAGACAATGAAAACATGAACATTTACCCAGATAAGTAATTTAATAATGCATTAGTTGTTTTAAGTGAGGCTCAGGGTTCATATACCTCTGAGTTAATATCCCATTCTAGCATTCTCTAGCATTAGTACGGCAGTAGGAAAGGTAACAACATTCTTCTCTGCCTCAACATCCTCATCTGCAAAATGTGAATTTTTATAGCACTTACTGTACATAGGGGTTGATGCTTCGGGAGGGCTAAACGCCATAATGTGAATAAAGCTTTTAGCACCGTGCCTCACACCTGATAAAGTGTTTATGAAGTAGAGGCTATTATGTTACAGTAAGTGTATCTGTAAATGTCAAAATGCCTTCCTAAAAAAGCTAATTTTAAATAATTATAATATGTATTCCTATCTCTGATTATCTTGCTACTCTCTGTGAGGCAATTCGTTGAGAAGTCTGTCTGTTAGTGGTCCAGGAGTCAAGTGGCTTCTTGGCAGTAAGGTTTGCATTGATAAATATCAACTTAATATGGGTTGTAACCAGAAGGTAGAAAATAAGAAAAAAAGAGAATGGAGCCACTTCAGTGCCTACCTTTCTGGGACAGAGAGCTTAGAATATTGACCATTGTAAACCTAGCTCTTATGTTATAGTTTGGAAAGATCTTGATAAATAATTAAATTCACTCCCTCTCTCATTTCATAAATGGGAAACTGAGGTCCCCATATTAGAGACAGAACCAGAACTAAATTCACATCAGTCTTTCACTGTATATTATATCAACTGTAGTATGAAAAATTTCAAAAACCACAGACATAGAAAGGCTAGAATAATGAACTTCTCTATACTCTTCAATAATTATCAACCCCCATTGCTTCTCTTGAAAAACCAGTTTTGCATCAGAGTCTGTTGTCATTTATACTCCGTCACAGAGCTCTTCGGAACCAACATCACACAGAACACACCCCAGGCAAAGAAACATAGAAATAGAAGGAGGATATGGTCTGAGAAACAAAGGCAGGCTGTCAATAAATGCCGAAAATGTAGAAAATATGCTCAAGTTATTTTTATAACAGTCTGGAGAGCACAGACTTGTTCCAAGAGGACACTGTTCCTTTAAATTACTTACTGATCCCACCCAGATCTTGCACCCTGGCCAAATGCCTGACCACTCTTGCTTTAACTTAGGCTAATAAACATGTATAAAAGATTGCAAAAGTTCCAAAAGCAAAGATAATTTTTATTTCCACAGCACAGAACAATATCTAATAGCCAACTCCATCTCCAACAATGGTCCTTGCTGTTGGCATTTGCTTAATCAGTCTTTAATTCCTGTTTGACAAACTTTATAAGGTAAGACATAACTGTTTTATTTTAATCACTTGAAATCAGAAAGGACCACCTAGGCACCTGGTTTGCATACTTATTATGCAAAGAAAGCTGAAAATAATTACTGATAGAAATTTTTCTCTATTCTCTGCCATTACTTTAAATTAATTATTAGAAAAATATAAATGATTGTTAAAATGTAGGCATTTAAAATTTATGTCAAAGTTATTTGAAAATTGATTTTTAATTCACAGGCTACTACCTAGCATTGCAATGAAATTAATATCTTTTGGGATGTCTTTTTCTTAATTTGGAACATATTTTTATAACTCAGTATTAATTATAGAATGTTTGATAACTTGGTTAGTTTGGCAATTTGAATAGAGTGTTCATCTGATAATTTTATCTTTATGTAAAATAAATGCTATGCAAACACTGTAAATACAATTGGTAAACTCTGCTGAAAGAATTTTAGTTTTGAAAAGTCATAAAAAATAAAGCCTCTTGGATTTATTGATTCTGATATTTACCCCAGATAAATTTTAGGCAAAAAAAAGCAAATATATAGCATTTGGTTAAAGATAATCATTGTTTCTACATTTAAAAAATGCAACTTATAGTAAACATAGAGGTTTATATTTCTTTTATTTAACTAATGCCATTTCCCCCTGACCTATTTTGCTTGTATATGATGTCTAAATGAGCAAAAGATAAGAATTATTGAAAACTGAGGCAAAATAAAGCATGGCAAAATTATTAGAAATGGGTGTGCTCTTAACATGCCAAACTAATAAAAACGAAAGAGATTTCAGGAAGGCAGTGGAACTAGAAACCAAAAGTATAAGGGCATCCTCAGGCTACTACCAGGAAAGAGAGAGAGAGAGCAAAACTGCTTTGGGCAAGCCGGATAAAAATATCAGAGCAAATAGTATAAAATATGAGACATTGTGATCGTTGCTAATGATGAGATTGTGATAGTGAGCATTGTATAGGCAAACCTTCAGGTGCAAATTCATGGTTATGTGACCACACACACACACACACACACACACGACTGTATGAGCAGGTGCTTAGTTTTAGGGGAGATGAGTCTTTATTTAAAGACAGAATTTCCAAAGCCCAAAATGAGGCTAAGAAATGAGAAGAAAGTGGTTTTCTGCTCAGGGTCCTGCATGGGAAATCACCTTCTTTAGATTTATGAAGAGTTGTACTGATCTTGTATCTTGTAAAATCTCTTGTATTTTCAATGAAATTACATTCTCAGTCTCTTATTTCCAGAACATCTGAGACACCTCCTCTGATAATGGGCTCGACAAAAGAGAAAGGTCATATGTGATACCAGGGACGTGGTGTTATTCCCCTGGCCTGCCCCACCCCCTGAAAATGCAATAGCAGCTGTGTTTTGCTACAGAGTCTTCTTTTTACACTAGTCTTCAGTTAAACTTATACTTCCTTCTGTATTCTTCTCTTCGGTTAACAAGGGATTACTTGAGGGAAAGATGTCCTTTATGTGTTCTATTTCCTCAGCAAACTTCTTGTTCTTCTTCTTTTTGGAATATCCAGCTATCTTCTCATCTTAACATACCTGATCTGAAGAACTGTTGACACTTGGCCAATTGCACTTGATGCACTTGCCCATAAAGGAGCTTGGCCAGACTGATACAGAGTCAGCTTAATAAACTTCCTGCTAGATGATTACCTGAGGAGCAGATCATGGATGGAGCCATCCATTGGTTCATCCTCAACCCAACAGCTTTGATTCCTTTTTGGGTTTCTCTATCTGGCATATATGAAAGAAGTCAGTGATCCATTCCATTCCTCATTGCCTTTGCATATATTTCCACCTGCTATTTGAGCCTGGAAAAATCATGTTCATGATTTCCCAGATCCCATTCCCTGGAGGAAAATGTGATTTCCTTTTCCAGAACTTCTGAGGTCAGTATAGTTTAAGAAGAGCATTTCCAAACCATGCAGAACATTGTTTCAAAAAAGCCTTCTTGTTCCTTGGAGCTCCAGTACACTGAGCTAGCCACATGCATGTCTTCTCTTGCCAGGGAAGCCGGTGGGTGTAAAGGTCATCTGGAGGATAGCTGGGCATATTGAGAGATGAAAATGGCTGAAGATTTTAATACAGGATTAGATTTTTCATTGATAATTGACCTAGAAAAAACAGTTTCACAGGAATGTTCAGAGGAAGTGTGTTCTGATTTCAAGTCTTATTTCTATCAGTTCTTCACTGGAAGAATAATGCTGCTGAGCAAATCTACTATTTTTGTTCCATACTCTTTTGATTCATTGGATATACAGCTGTAGTTCAGCTTGGAACTCTGTTGTAGATGAAGTTTCCAAGAGTTTAAAAGACTAATGATTTTCTATGGGAATACAAAGGCAATTTCATTTTTGACTAGCCTTTCGAATTCATGAAATTTGTGAATTGAAATGATGGTGATTCTCCACAACCCTGTAAAAATATTGAGATCATCAGGAATTAGTTATAATGAAACAACCATGTAGCAATCTGATATCACCTTGAAGAATGTGGAATGTCAAAACAGACCCTATGCTTGAACCAAGGTCATCATACAGAGTGGGACTGAAGGGTTTTTTTTTTTTATTTTTTGAAATTTTTAAATGTTTTTATTCATTTCTGAGAGAGAGCAAGCCAGCGTGAGCAGGGGAGGGTCAGAGAGAGAGGGAGACACAGAATCCGAAACAGGGTCCAGGCTCTGAGCTGGCTGTCAGCACAGAGCCTGATGCAGGGCTCGAGCCCACAAACCATGAGATCATGACCTGGGCTAAAGTCGGACACTTAACCGAATGAGCCACCCAGCAGCCCCAGGACTGAAGTATTTTTAAATGGCCTTTCCCACTCTCTGCTTCCCATAATAAAATAGGAAATTCAGATTATGTGGCTGTAATTCTTTGACTATAGAGAAATATTCACTAATAAATGTTTGGTTGTGATACCATGATTTATTTGGATTAAAAGCTTCTAAAATCTCAGTGTAGATGTTTTCCTGAAAATACAAATGAAAATTCTCTTCTCTTGCCCCATGCCAGTTTTCAATTCTGCTGGCTTGAAATTAAAAAAATAGCAAACATTTTATTTTACCGAAGTATTTATAACTGATTTTTCTATTAAAGGTGCTACAAGACAGATGACTTTTCACCACCTGCCATGATGTGGAACAGACATTTTGTCTTCTATCTCCTGCTTTTGCCAGCTTTTATGAGTCAAACAACACATGGACAAAGAAAGAAAGGATCAAAGTCCAATTTACTTGCAAAGAAAAATGACCTCCAGGGTAAAAAAAATATATTTTTTTGTTTTTAGTGATTAGTTTTAGCCTGTTAAAACACCAGTATGATTTTTTTCCAAGTAGCAGTTGATATAAATAGCAAACCATACATATATAAAAACATAGGTAACATTCTATTTTAATATAAATATATTGTGTAGTATATATGTGTAGTATATATGTGTAGTATATATACCATATGTATACATATATGTATATGTATATGTATATGTATATGTATATGTATACATATATATAAAGTATATTGGTATACTTTGTATACATACAAAGGATTGAGTATGTATGTATCCAATGTTTTATGAGTAAAAACATTAGATGTTTTAGAGCCCTTATACATTAATTTTCTCATTTGAGCCTCACAGCAGCTTTATAAAATAGTAATGGCAGAGAGCGCCACTCTCATAAAGAAATGGAGGCCCAGAGAGATTAAGTGGCATATCTAAGGCCATAGGCAAATTAACCAGTAAGATGCAGAGCTAGAATTCAAACTCAAGTTCTCTGCTTTTAAGTTTCTTTCTCCCTCATTGCTACAAAGAGTATAATTACTTTCTCCCTGGATTTCAAAAAAGCTGGAAAAAAATCCCCAAACCAACCATCTGAACAAGGTGGAGCCTCACAAATGTGACACAGAACCTGAGAATTAGACAGAGCACTACTTCTAGACAGCTTTACCCAATATTTTCTGGATTTCTAAGCAGGTTTTACTTTGAGGAGATGCTCGAAATACACGGTATTTTCTTTGTTTGCTTTCATTTGCATAATTTTAAAAGACAAAGCATTTGTAGATTTTGAAAGACATTTCTTTTTTCACAACTTAAGCCCCATCTCCAAGGCACCTCTCTTTTTCACTCCCCTCTTCTCTCCAAAACAAACAACACGTATCCCACCACCTCAGGGCTTTCTTTATGCAAAGTGGTTTCCTGAGGAGAAACAAATATTTTGCCTAACCTATTTGTTCTATTTCAGGCTCTACTTGCTTCATAGATGTTGTCTTCATTGTGGACAGCTCTGAAAGTTCTAAAATTGATCTCTTTGATAAACAGAAAGATTTTGTGGGTAGCTTGAGTGACAAGGTTCTCCAACTGACCCCGGTTCCCTCCTTGAAGTATGATATCAAACTGGCAGCACTCCAGTTTAGCAGCTCTGTCCAAATTGATCCACCGTTTTCTTCTTGGAAAGATCTGCAGACTTTTAAACAGAGGGTCAAGTCTATGAATTTCATTGGGCAAGGCACCTTCTCTTATTATGCCATCTCCAATGCCACTAGTTTACTTAAGAGAGAAGGGCGTAAAGATGGAGTGAAAGTGGCTTTGCTGATGACTGATGGCATTGACCATCCAAAGAATCCAGATGTCCAGAGTATTTCTGAAGATGCCAGAACTGCAGGAATATTATTTATCACCATTGGACTTTCCACTGTTGTCAATGAAGCCAAACTTCGTTTGATATCTGGGGAATCATCCAGCGAGCCCATTCTACTGTTGAGTGATCCAACCCTCGTAGATAAAATTCGAGATCGCCTGGTAGGTACCTGAGGAGTTGGTTTTATATATACATATATAAATATATATATAATAATATATATATTATTATATATATATATACACACACACACATATATACACAATATATATAAATATATATATACATATATATACACACACACATATATATATACACAATATATATAAATATATATACACATACATATTATACACACATATATATTTCCAATAATAATATCGATACCTTAATTATAAATTCTGTAAGGATAGGTACTGGGTCAGAAAGATAAGAGAAAAAGAATCCACCTTGGAAATAGCTAAGAGAATCTTTCCAAAGTCTCTCTCCACTTCCTTTGATAGTTTACACGAGATAACCTGGGCAAGTACCAGAGCTCATGCTCTGGGATTGCATTCCTAGCTTTATTGCCAGCCAATGCTGAGGGTTTTAGAAGAATTACTTTCCAGTTATATACTTCAGACTCCTGTTTATACATCCTGGGATCACGAACACTGCTGATTTATATTCAATTTGTGGTCAACTTGTGGTCTGCCGTATTTGTGCTAAGTTGGGTTTTTCCCCCCATTTAACATCTGCAGAAATATTTTGACTCAATGTGTCACCTACTGCGATATTATGTTCCTCAAGCCAAGTTTCAATTTTTTTTTATTATGTCCTTGTTCCTTTGGTGTTAGCAAGCCCACCCAATTTAAAATCACCTGCAACCTGTAGACACCCACCAGTTTCTCCTGCACATCAATGAGTGCCATTTGATTGGTCTGATTAGTTACTTCTATGCTTTTCTTTGCTGGTTTCTCAGCTGTGTGAGAGATCCTTTCCTTTCTGCTTGGAAAAACACAAGGGAAGGCAATGAAAATAAAATCCCCCTTCAGAGTATTTCTCAAGAAGAAAACTCCTAGAGAAAAAGTGGTTGATTTGTTAAGTGTTAAAAGTCGATTTTCTTACAAATACTGATTTTCTTTGATTTCTGGAGAAGAGGGCAAGACACATGTGTCCCTTATACTTGGCATTTCATATAGTTGTTCTATAGGTTGCAAAAAATCTCAGCCTGTTTCAGAGATTGTTTTGCCCTTTTATCCCTTCTCCCAATCTTTTTCCTAACATTGTTCTTGCAAGTTAAGAACTTAAATTCTATTTATATTTTATTTTATATTATATTTATATTTTATATTATATTTTATGTTTTTTTTAATGTTTTATTTATTTCTGAGAGAGAGAGAGAGAGACAGCATGAGCAGAGGAAGGTCAGAGAGAGAGGGAGACACAGAATCTGAAACAGGCTCCAGGCTCTGAGCTAGCTGTCAGCACAGAGTCCAACGTGGGGCTCGAACCCACGAACCGTGAGATCATGACCTGAGCCGAAGTCGGACACTTAACCCACTGAGCCACCCAGGCACCCCATATTATATTTTATGTCACATAACTATTCTATAAGTTAATTCTTAAATATTAACTTTAAGATAATAACTTGTAAGTTAGTCTTATAACTGTTGTTTTCAGCATAAGACATTAACTTTTTAAAAAAAATTTTTTATCTGTTTATTTATTTTTGAGAGAGAGACAGAATGTGAGCAGGGAAGGGGCAGAGAGAGGGAGATACAGAATCTGAAACAGGCTTCAGGCTCTGAGCGGTCAGCACAGAGCCAGATGCAGGGCCTGAACCCATAGACCGTGAGATCATGACCTGAGCCAAAGTCAGACACCCAACTTACTGAGCCACCCAGGTGCCCCGAGACATTAACTTTTTAATCTAAATAATAGTTATCACGTCTTGAGTGCTCTGTGTCTTAGCCAATGTTCTAAGTCCTTTACTTACATATTTTATTTTATTCAAGGTTTTCAACAATGATGTAGGTACTATATTATCCTAATTTTAGAGTTGAAAATGTAATGCCAGGCAAAGGCCTGAAGTCTTCACACTTAACCCTATGACATTATATTGAAAGGGGAAAATAGTAACTATTTTATGATTTTCTCAATCAGAACTGTTTTGAAACAGTTAAGCAACATCCCTCCTCCAAAGTTGCTATTGTTTCTGGTCTCTTTTCCTTGGACATTGGGGGTACATAGGGAGAGCTCTGCTCACATTGAAGATGATGATTTCAGTCCCCAGGGGGCTTAGGGGAAGTGCTTACTCTGAGCATCTGTTTTGCATGAAAGGAAAACGTGGGGGCAGGGGCGGGGTGAGGGGTACCTGGTTAACTGCCTAGCCCTGTCTGTGCCATAATTTAAGCAGTTCTTACCACTGAACCCAAAATAGAAGACTCTAGCATGTGCTGGAGAGAACTCTTGAATTGAGATCGTGAGTTGCCAATTGCTGACTGTAGAAGTTGCAGGGTAGGCAACTCTCTTTGGCCAGTTGTGTAGGCTCAGGAAGTTCATACTCCTTCTAGACACATTCTCTTTGCTGAGAGCTCCTACCCAACTCAGAACACAGGATCTTGGCAGTAGACTTGAAACAGGGCTATTTGTCCGTTTCTGAGGAAAACAAAAAATGACCAAGTGTCCCAATGACCCCACTCTTCCTTAGTATCTTGTGCTTTCAGCTTGTTTGTTCAGATGGAAGTTGTATGAACAAGTCAGGAAAGCACCAGGAGATGATGCTTTCCAAACACTTCCAGCAACCAAAGTGCTCATTAGGCCCTTCAAAGAACAATATACTAAGTTTCAGTGTTTCCAATTGCCACTGTATAGGAGGCAAACTTGACTCTTGATCAGGCCATTCGAAAAATTCCTCATCTAATCTATTTCTATTACATTTTTCTTTGAATTCTTAAGCTTTTCATTTTCAAATGATTATGTAGTTGACTTCCTAAAATAAGTCAATTAGGTATCATTTAAGTACAAAACTGCAACTACTTAAAGTACAGAATTCTATGAGTTTTGATAGATGTACACATTCACAAAACCACCAACACAGGACACAGAACATTCTGCCACGCCCAAATTTCCTCATGTCTCTTTGCACAATATCCTTCCTTTGCCTCTTAGCCCCTGATCTGATTTTTGTCACTCTAGTTTAGTGTACACTTTCTAGGCTTTTATATAAACAAGCTTATGCAATATGTACTTTTATTTGGCAGGGTTCTTATACCCAGCATAACAATTCTGGAATTTGACTGGGTTGTTTTTTTATATTAGCAGTCTATTTCTTTTTACCGAGGAGTAGACCACAGTTGAATTTAACAGAGATAGGTGCCCACCAAGAATGGAATTTGCAGGAGGCAAGACAAATCAAAGAATCATTACTAACTCTCTGGCACCTCCAGTAGAAAGTATCATGTAAGAACCCATGAATACATGTCAGCTCTGAATGACCCAAAGGAGACCTGATGATTCCACATTGAAGAAGATACATAAAATGTTCTAATACTGTTTTATTATGGTTTACATATTGAAGCCAAGGAAACGGTTCCTACCCAATCTTCCACACATATTAGTTGGTCTTTCAGAAAAGATTTCTTGGTGGTTATTTTGCCATTATACTAAGCTGCAGATATTCTTTGGTCTCAGTTTGTAATCCTTGCCTACTATGTGCTTTGTTCTCATCCCATTTGCTACCATGTCAATAGTGTTGACACCTTCCTCACATTTCCTCTGTCCCCTTCTCAGAGCATTGACCTCACACTCATTCACAGAATTGGCAGTTCTGTTCTAGCCTTTTCCTTCCACATATAGGCCATCATAAAACTCTGCCTCCACTAATAAAATGCAACCTCCTTTGCTCCAGGAAGGGCTTTTCTCTATTTATCCCTTCTATTTAAACTATAGCAACCACGTAGATTTTTTAAAAATGTTTTTAAATGTTTATTTATTCTTCAGAGAGAGAGACACAGAGCATGCGGGTGGAGGAGCAGAGAGAGGGAACACAGAATCTGAAGCAGGCTCCAGGCTCTGAGCTGTCAGCACAGAGCCTGACATGGAGCGTGAACCCATGAACGGTGACATCATGACCTGAGCCGAAGCCAGACTTTCAATAGGCTGAGCCACCCAGGCGCCCCCATCCACCTAGATCTTAACTGAACGTGCCCTTCCCTGTGGCTTTGACCAGGTTCTTCCAGTTATGCCACATAACCTGCCTCTTTGCTAAGCAAAGGCACTCATTATTTCCCAAGGTGTCCAGCTCTGTCCACATGGGCCTTCTGTCCACTCTTTCAAATGTCCCTCCTCACTGCTTCCTTTGTCTTATTGCCCACACTAGTCCTTATGACTTTTTTCTCATGAACTTTGACATATAGAAGAGTATTCCATCAATGAGTTGGTCCTTTGCATTCCTTCTTGAAAATTATCCAGAAAACCCACCTATTTCCAGAAACCGTCTTGTTACCCACCTCCCCACCCAGTCTGGGATCTCCTTCCCACGCTGCTTGCTGTGTGCTGTTTTCTGTCACTGGGGCTTATAGACTATAAGTGCCCTTAGGGATAGAGCTTTGTTCTTTGTTTGAAACAGTCTTATCTATTGTGTAGTCTTGGGTCCATTTTTGTTTCCATAGAAATACAAATTCCAGCAAACACAAAATCAAATGAGTTCCAAAATTAGTTAGTTATGTTGTTATGGTTTTAAGCCTCATGGCACGTATTTTTAAAGAGTTAACACGGCAAAGCAGAAATTAAATTCTCAAAGGAAGAGCTGAAAAAAGTGTAAAATTATACATGAGGCATAGTGGCAGCTAAATTCATGAGCTTAAAAACTGATACTAGATAATAGAAGGGTGTTGCTTAATATACAAAGGTTGTTAGGTGATAGAACTTTGCATTTTTCTTTATTTCAGCAGTTGTTTTCAAACATTACAATTTGACTTGAATTATTACTTGTTTATTATCTCTTGGACTATTTTCAAATTCCTTTCTCTCTCTCCCTCCCAGAAAAACTAAACTTCCGACATGTGTTTAAAATATTTTCATAATTTGGATCACATTCTGTATATCCATCTGCAGCTTGCTTTTCAACTCACCGTCCTTGAGAAATTTTCTGTGTTGAAATATATAGCCCCAATGATTTCACTTTAACCACTGAAGAGTATTTCATTTATTGACCCATTCTAATACTGATAGATATTTTTATTATTTCCAAATTTTCACTATTGAAAATAATGAGTGCTGAAATATACAAATACTACAAGAATTTCTCTAAGATATATCTGAAGGGATGTCAGAATAACAGGTGTAAACAAGGTCTCATTCTGAGCAACCTAGAAATAAAGCATGCACATCTTCAGCTTTCGAGGCACAGCCAAATGTTCTGGAGAGGGGAAATTGCACCAAGACCGTCAGTATATTTGAATTCCCATTTCTCCATGTGACCTGCTAGTTTATAAAGATACAAGCAGTTCATCTGTTTTCAGCCTGGATAGACACTGCTGGTAATCTTAAATCAGGAAGGTGAGGAGTGGGTAGGAAGCAAGGGACAAAAGAAGGCCATTGGTGAGACTGAATTTTGTAAAGAGGGTCTGTGGCCAGAGTTTTACAGCTCCTGAGACACTGGGGTCAAAATTTCTTATTTTTTGTATATGTGGAAAATGACCTGAAAGGATGATGTGACTTGCCCAAGGCCACCAGCAAATTGATGGTGGACACAGAATGAAAACCCCAGATGATGCTAAATTCTCAGCCTAATTTTTCCTCCTATTAAACCCCAAGAACCATTTAAAGCATTTTGCTATATCTTCACTCTGTATTATTAGTTTGTATGGAAATAAAGGTAAAGTAAAAATATAACTAAAAAGATGTGGGGTCTTCCATAAAGATAGAGCTCTGACTTACCTTTAACTTCCTCATTACATCCTTCATTTCTTATAATTTTATTTATTTATTTTGAGAGAAAGAGAGAGAGAGAGACAGAGAGAGAGAGAGAGAGAGAGAGAGAGAGAGAGAATGTGGTCTGGGAAGAGGCAGAGAGAGAGAGGGGGAGAGGGAGTCCCAAGTAGGCTTTGCACTGATGGTGGGGATGCAGGGCTCAAACTCACGAATCATGAGATCTCAACCTGAGACAGAAGCAAGATTTGGATGTTTAACCGACTGAGCCACCCAGGTGTCCAGTTCATTTTTAATATCTTGTAACAAATATTCTAGTGCTTCTTCCATTTTCTATTTTATCATATGAAATTAACCCTTCAGAGTCAGTTGTAAGGCATCAATCTGACACATCATTTCTACATTATGAAAGCAATTATTCCATCTGTAAGCGTTGGTTAATTTCTTTCCCATTTTGCCTTCAGGTGTGGCCTTAGTGTACATGTCAGATAGTACCCTATTCAGCTGACATAGGGCAGGGAGGCCTAGATGTTGGACAAAAATCAGATCGTGAATTTCTCTAAAATTGTGAATTTAAAGGAGTTTTGAAAAATATTCTGGCTAATTCATTACTGTGTGGGTAAGTATAAAGTAGCACTTGAACTTGGTTCAGTAGTTCAGCCCAAGTGTATGACATTGGGCAAGTGAGAACACAGCAGACCTAAGTTTTCTTATGGCAAAACGAGAGGCTGGACATGATTGACTTCAGAAGTTTGTTGATATTTTATGAAATTATCACCCCAAACTTAATGTTTAATGCTTTAAAAAATGCACATTATCTATCGGGATGGGAAAACAAAAGTAGAGAAAACACACAATTATGGATCCTGGCTAAGTCTTTATAAGTAAAAGTGAGAAATCTTTACTATGACTGATTAAACTTGTAGCCAAATTATGGAGATTAGAGAGCTAATTAAGAAAACAAAAAATAGAACAAGATGCAACAAGATAAAGTTCCTACGAAACAGAATAATTTTTCATGTTAGTGCCCTTCATGTCTTTTATGATACGGCTCAGAGGGCTCCTTGGGTAGTTGGCTGGGAGGGTCTACTGCTTTTACAAGGTTAAAAAGACTGAATTGCTAATTCTTCTTGAAAATTGCATATCCCATAGGGAATAATTAAGACTAATAAGAAGCTGGAAGCAGAACCATGAAGCGAGTTAATGTTTTATTCTTTTTTCCCTCCTAGGATATCTTATTTGAAAAGAAGGTAAGCACCACATGCTTTTAGAGTGTGCATAATCAAATCAGCATTATAATTCATATTAGAAGATAAAGAGGGTCTAAACAAAAATGCTTAATTCCTTTAAAAATGAGCCAGTCCATTTTGAGGCAGCCATCTGATTCCTTTATGCTACTCTGCAGGTTGGAAAACTTAGAAAAAGTAAGAAACATTTAATATGACTTTAGAGAGTCATTTTAGAAATCAGTGATAGCCATATTGCATAATTTTCTTTAAAGGTTTTAATTTTAAGTAATTGCTACACCCAATGCAGGGCTTGAAATCATAACTCTGAGATTGAGAGTCACACACTCCACCAACTGACTCAGCCAGCCACCCCCTAAATGGCATCGTTTTTGCTTGTTTTGATATGACTTCCTTCATTCTAAGCATGTCTCTGATGCCAGCAACTCATGCAGGTCCTTCACTTTGGGAGGTGTGCCTATGTCAGCCACGGTCCTGGCCAAGAGACACAGTGCAGAGTCTCTTGCTGGTGCCCAGTGATTGACTTTAAGCTCATTCTCCTTCCTGCTGGTGGCAACCATACCAAGTGGCAAAGGAAGTTGGTCAATATCGTTTGGATAGTGCTCAACACAATCAAAGACCACCATGTTGCTGAGGACTTCTATACTGCACGTGTGTTTCTTAACACAGAGTTTGGAACATGTGAATTTTGTTTGATAAGCTGCTTATTAAACATCAGGAAATTTACTAATACTAGGAGCCAACCAAGCCCTACAGAACACCACGCTTCATCGAATGGCAGAGACACCGTTATTTTATGTACCACTGAGATAGGAAAGGACCCTGCCAATTAAACTATCATAGAGTAACTTCTTATAAATAGCAATTCTTGATTTTATACTTGTGGTAAGAGTCTCTTTAGATTTCTTTAGACATAGATTTTTAAATCCTGTATCACTTTTGTACATATATACAAGGGAAAGTAGAACCAAACTAAATCAGTTATTTCTAAAAGTTCTTCACATTCAGAGTCTAAACCTTCTGAATCACTTTTTGTCTTCCTAGTCGCTGATGCCCTTCCCCTCCCCCCCCCCTTATCAGCCTGTGCGCCATCAAAAACACTGGTGATGCAACATTTCTTGAGTGTGCTCCAGTAGTGTCTCTGGAGTTTTCATCCATTTCATTCTGAAAGTTTTGAATAACATGTGCAGAAAGTAACAACTTCAATTATGATCAGGCCTGATTCACATAAGAGTCATTCTGATTTCAGACATGTTAAAATAAGGAGAAATGTACATCCTAGAACTAAAATATGGTATGCCACATGTTTTCCTTTTTGACTAAAGGAATATTTGACATTTGCATGTTATTAAGCTTTGATGTACTGTGTAGAAGAGAAAAGGGAGAAATCCCAAAAATCCACTGAAAATGTTCATTTTCCTTTTTAACTGGCAACTAGATGTTATACATATATTTTTGGTGGAAGGTCTAATTTATCTAACCATGGCGATGTTTAGTATTACTTTATTAGCTGGCTCTTACCAGATCTGAGTTAGCCTAGAAGAATTGAAAAGGGAGAGCAAAATCTCCATAAATTTGCATGGTAAAATTTCTTCAAGGGAATATTCTCTTTACTTAAGTCCTGAATAAGATTTGAAACGCTGCATTTGATTGTTTGTTAATATTGGATTTCATTCTTGATTCAGTGTGAACACAAGATCTGTGAATGTGAGAAGGGGGATCCGGGCGACCCAGGGCCTCCTGTGAGTATGTTTGTTTCTACTTTGAACATATGGTCAAGTCAGGAAACCCTAGTCACGATTGCTCTACTGACACTTGAAAATGCAGGGCTCTTTGATGCTTTTGAAAAGCAGTTGTGTGCAAATAGCAGCAAACATGGAAATGCTGTTTCTCTCTTTTATTCCTAAAGGGATACACTCTGTCCTTAGATATAAGCCAGGGATTTTCCTGACCTTAACTGAACTGAGGGCAGATTTGGTTTAAAATGATGAAGTTGTTCTCACAAAGGATATTTCAGGATCACTTCTGATGTGACGATTGGGGCCAGAATTTCTCAACACTGGAGTGAAAACATAGAAAAGGAGATCATACAAATCCTCAGTGCTTTAGGGAAAGTTTTACCCCACCCCCACCTAGGAACAAGTGATACGGATCTCTCTGGAAGCCAACTGTGTCCTCACATGTATCCAAGGGCAACACTGTGTGGTCTCTCAGAGAGGAAGCTGCTCAGGAAGCTTTGGGGATTAGAGTGATTCCTGTGAAATGGAACTTGACAACTAAAAGTTAAAGGCAGGATTTACTATCATGATTCAATATTGGTAAAACAATCCCAAAAGGAGTGTTTCCCTTATATTCTGGCCTAACATCTGGAAGGTACCATGTATGTACTGGGAAGGGACCTGAAGCAACATCACAATGACTGGCGATACTGTATATTTCTCTAATACATTTCATCAGATGCATCCAAGCTGCCCATTCAGTATTCCATTTACTTATGTGGTCTCAAACCTTTGAGGTCAAAAGCCCAGTGGACGTATTTTACAAAAATGCATGGATACGGTTTTTGAATGAATGCTTATATTTGGGGGCAGAGAGGGGAATGTGTACTGTGAATTGCTTAGACTATGAACATTTTCTCTTGAGACTTGGGTTCAGAGACGAATATTTTTTCAAGCCATTCTACCAATTGAGGTATTAGAAAATGAGAGTGCTTGTCCTTTTTTTTCCTTCCAAAATGTAAGTTAGATACGTTATAGGATAATGAGGCAGCCAGTAGAAGCTGATTTTGGCCAAAGCAAAGGTTTAAACTTCTCTTCTTATAAAGTCTTCTTTTATACTTATTACACCAGGAGATTTTCTGAAAAGGTGTAGTTGGGATATTCAATTACGTTTTAGAATGAACTGTAAAGAAAATTTACTAGTTGCTGAGCTAATCTAACAATTTCAGTCATTCAATATTGTTAGAGATTACTGTACCAATTTTTTTTAAACCGAAGTATAGCGACACACAATGGTTTATTAGTTTCAGGTGTTAATCACAGTGATTCAACAAGTTTATACATGATGCTGTGTTCACCACAAGTGCAGCTACCATCTGTCACTGTAAGGGACTATTACAACACTACTGACAATAGTGTAGTGCTGTAACATATCATGTTTTAATAGTGATAGACATAAAACTACATCATTTAGCATTTATTGAGTCCTCCTAAGACCAGTTCTCAGAAAAACCAGCTTTTTGGTGGTTTGAGAATAGGAAAACAAAAAGCCTTTCTCGAACAGGATTGGAGCACTCTCTTCTCTCATCTTTTCTTTTATTTAAGTTTATTTATTTTGAGAGAGAGAGAGAGCAGGGGAGGGTCAAAGAGAGGGAGAGAAGAATCCCAAGCAGGCTCCATGCTGTCAGTACAGAGCCTGATGTGGGGCTTGATCTCACAAACTGCTAGATCATGACTTGAGCTGAAATCAAGAGTCAGAGGCTTGACTGACTGAGCCACCAAGGCTGCTCCTCTTCTCTCATCTTTGAGCTTATCCCTTGGATATCAGGGAGAGAGAGACATTGTCTTCTTTTGAGCAAATCTAGAGAATCTACCTATTCAAGACAGTGCAGTTTTCCTGGTTTGTAGTAAAAGAGAGAATACAGTTGAATCTCTGCTTGGTAGGTTAAGGGTTTTTTTTTACAGTCTTCCCTCATTTTATGGGATGAAGCTGATCAGAAATTACTGTAATGTGTAAAAACCTAATATAATGCCTGCTCAATGCAATCTTTTTTACCTTTGCCTTCAGGGTACACATGGAAACCCAGGTATCAAAGGTGAACGAGGACCAAAAGGAAATCCGGTAAATAAATAAATAGCTTTCCTTATAAACCAACGTTATCTCGTTCTAGATTTATTTAAAGAACAAAAGCCAAAAAAAACAAAAGAGCACTGTAGTATATGTCAATGTCGGAAATATGATGATTTCTATGAAGACTACAGGATGCTTACTTTCTATATTATCTGGTTTATGTTAGCTTGCATTTACAAATTCTAAGTAATATATGACCATTTTAGTTAATAAATCTAGGAAACCTAGGGAAACTGAACAATAGAAATTGGTACATACATAATGGTGACCCAATTGTTCCAATGTTCCATGAATTACTAATACATATCCCATATGAAATTGACATTGGCACTTATGTTTTTATGAATCTGTTTTATGTATAACTGACCTATGATAATAATAGAAAAAATAAGTATTTCTTACTCCCAGACCATCTTCATGCATTTCCCTAATTCTTTTCTTTGTGTACCCATAAAAAAATTCTAGATTTTTTTTTTTAAATGTAATGTTTTATTTATTTCTGAGAGAGAGAGACAGCATGAACAGGGCAGGGTCAGAGAGAGAGGGAGATACAGAATCTGAAGCAGGCTCCAGGCTCTGAGCTAGCTGTCAGCACAGAGCCTGACGCAGGGCTCGAACCTACGAACTGTGAGATCATGACCTGAGCTGAAGTCGGACGCTTAACGGACTGAGCCACCCAGTTGCCCTAGATTATTTTTTTTTAAATCAGGTAATATTTCAGATGATGATCTTCCAAGTTCAAGAGTGACTAAAACAATCATAGGAGAGAGATATGACTGTGTGAAAACTTATGGCGAAATTCTATATAATGAAAAATAATAATTAAAATGAAGAAGAAAACAGGGAAATATTTGCATCAAATACAATGGACATTGGGTTAATTTCTATAGTATATGAAGACTTTATAAAACAGATAAGAAAATATCAAGCCACTAATAATTAATTGGTAAAAAAAAAACAATTTTCAAGAGAGGAAGTAAAACCAGTAAATAAAGAAGTAGAAGGACATTTATTTTCACTAGATAGTGAATGATACTTAAAAAGAGGTACCCTTCAATACTAATTATTCACATTTTAGAAACTTGGGAGTCCAGGGTTGTTGGGTTGTTTTTTTGTGTGCGGAGGGGAGCAATTTTCTAGTTCACATGGTTTGGGGTGCTATTTTTTTTTTTTTTTTGGTGTTTCAGACTTTAAAAAACATGTCTTTTTTATAGCAGTTAACACAGCACTATTAAACTAATAATAACTAGTGATAGCAATGGGTGGTTTGTTCATTGCAAAGGTAACTTGGCACATTTTGGAAAGCAATTAGGCACTACATAAGATGTATTCAAATATTCAAAATTTAACCCAATAACTCCACTTCTGAAACTATGTTTAGGGAGGTAATGAAAAAGTTAGATGCATGGAAGTATTTTAGATGCATGAAAGCCGATTGCCTGTTTGTCAAAGAAAGGTGATGTGAAGCATCCTTGAGTTGCTTTACAATACACAACCCTACATACTCATCATGTGGGTCCAAAATGATGCCATTGTGTCTTCTTTTTGTTTTGTTAAATATCTTTTTTAAATCTATGTTTACATTTCATTTATTTGGCTTGTAATTTTGTGCCACATAATATATTTTCCTAAGTTTTGCTGAAATCAAGCAATTACTCTTAAGGACATTTTGGAAAACATTCCAAAGTCCCTTGGAGAAAAGCCAGAGTGGCTGGCTCTGATTGGATACAATACTGCATTTGAGAACAAGGGCTGTGTTGTTAAACTGAGATGCAGAGCTTGGCCTCAGCTGTGAAAATGTACCTGGAGTCTGCACCCTATGCATCTGGCTTCTCTTCGAAGGGCAAAGGCTATCAGAATAGCGATTTTCTTCCCTAGACTCCATGGTGAAAATGTCAATGGTGAAAGACAAATATTTTTTTCCCCATTGGGATAGCCTGTTAATCTGGGAATTCAGAATAATGCATTTTATTGAGCAACCAGTCACTCTCTGGGGCTGTGGAATTTTTACTGAGTTTTTATATTTTTCACAGGGTGATGCTCAAAAAGGGGAGCCTGGAGAAAGAGGCCCAGAGGTATGTATGCAACTGGAATACCTTCCCAAGATGTAATCCAGGATGCTAAGATTTTGTAATTGATCATTTTGCCCCCTTGTAGTGCAAGTGCAAAGATGACTTACATATACATGTGTTCTTGGTGGCTCAGACAGGCCACCAAGATATCATCTTGGAAAGATATCATCTTGGAAATAGAAATATAGGGAGAAAATGCTCTGCTCAACAGGAGTGATGATGAGACAGGGTGATCAACCACATGACATTCTCAGATACTTAAGTGCAATTTGTGGAAGATTCAAATCAGGAAAATACTTTGTTTTGCTTCTTGTGTTATTAAAAAAATATTTATTTTTGAGAGCGGGGAGGGGCAGATAAAGAGAGAGAGAGAGAGGGAATCTCTAGCAGGCTCCACACTGTCAGCACAGAGCCAGACATGGGGCTCCATCTCACAAACCATGATATCATGACTGGAGCCAAAATCAAGAGTCAAACACTTAACCAACTAAGCCACCCAGATGCCTCTGTTTTTTTATTTTTTGTTTGTTTCCAATAAAGAATGAGTTAAAAATTTTGGGAGCACAGAAATACATAGTCTAAACTATGCTTTTGTAAATTTCATCTGCAGACAAAAGAAAAAGGTAGCATTCTAATTGATTTATTATCTCTAAAACTGGAAGATATTAGAGATTGCCTGAGAAATAATTACAGAAAATTTCTTCTTTGGTATTTTTCTGGGGAGTGGTAATAAAGTCACAAAAAGCAGAGAAAGGTGTACGGTGAATAAAAAAGACCATGCCACATTTCTCTTCTTGGCTGTCCCCCGGCAAAAGCCCCGGAGGCCCACAGGTTCAAAAAGCTGGTCTCCTGGTGTTTTTAGTCAATTTTATGAACAATTCTAATAGAAAGTTTGGTAATTTCAATGGAAATTCATTCAGATATATGTGTTATTCTTTAGGTAATATTTCTCAGGTATCTTCTACATATAAAGCATATTATTATGTGAAAATAAAATTAAGACAAAGCACTTACATTTTTTGAAAAGTTTGTTATAGGAGAGATTAAAATATTTAAAATAGCTACAATATTGGTTGCTCAAAGGGAAGTTGGGAGGGAGCAAAATGGATGAATGCGAGTAGGAAGTATAGGCTTCCCGTTATGGAATGAATAATTCACAGGGATGAAAGGTACAACATAAGGAATATAGTCAATGGTATTGAAAGAGCATTGTATGGTGACAGACAGTAGCTATACTTTGTGGTGAGCACACCATGATGTACAGAGAAATTGAATCAGTATGTTGTAGACCTGAATGTAATACAGCACTGTATATTAACTATACTTTAATTTTTTAAGAAAACATAGCTACACCATGAAGCAGAATGTTAAACTATTATAAAAACTGCATGCACAAATTATTATGGGCCTTCATAGGAGATTGAAACTGTCAAGGTGGGTTTTATAGAATGACTCTGGAGAGAGTAGGATTTTGACCAGAAAGGACAGAGCAGAAATGGGAAGGGGACAAGCGTTCCAAATGGAGAGGACATGAGCATCAACCTGAGGGAAGGTGATGGGTGGAAAACGATGAGAAGAAGGGCCTGAAGTGGTTGTTGTCAGATACAGCTGGAAGGGGAGAGTGGGTGTTCCATGCCAACTGTTAATCTGGACTCCATTTGTTGAGAGACTGAGATGTCAAATGAAGGGTGCAACCCAAGAGCTATGAACTTGGAAGATAAATCTGGCATGACCCACAAGGGGACATTGAAGTGGGGATAAACAGAAGAAAGGGACACTTAGAAGAAGGTTTTTTGTTACGGCCTGTCTGAGAACAGGGATGTTGGCGATAGGGCTACTCCAGGCAGGATGAAAACCACTAGCCACATGTGCTTACAGAGCAGCTGAAACATGGCTAGCCTGAGCTGAGGTGTGCGGTAGGTGGAAAATACATAATGAATTTGGATGACTTAGTACCAAAGAAAATGTAAAATACCTCATGGATAATTTTTATATTGGTCACATGTTGAAACGACTATATTTCAGACCTAGTGAGATCAGTAAAATATATTATTAAAAATTAATTTCACCTGCTGTCATTTTCTTAATGTGGTTGTTGGACAGAATAGGGCTACGGTGATGACAGAATAGAGAAGAAGAGAACATTGTGAGAACCACAGAAGGTAGGAAGGATAGGCTGTGGGACTGACACTGACTCATTGAGTCAACAAATATTTATTGAACACTTGGTGTATGCCGGGCCCTTCTTTAGGTGCTGCAAGATAGATAGTCCCTGATGCATGTAGTATGCAATCAAAGTGAGCAAGATAGATAGTCCCTGATTCATGCAGTATGCAATCAACAGGGCAAGCAATCAATAGGCCAACAAATGAATGAGATTTCATCAATGAGATGTGTTCTTGACATATAAAATCAGGTCATGAGTGGGCCACCTGGGTGGCTCAGTCAGCTAAGTGTCTGACTTTGGCTTAGATCATGATCTCTCAGTTCGTGAATTCAAGCCTTACATCGGGCTCTGTGCTGACAGCTCAGAGCCTGGAGCCTGTTTAGGATTCCATGTCTCCCTCTCTCTCTGTCCCTCCCCCACTCATGCTCTGTGTGACTCTCTCTCAAGAATAAATAAACATTAAAAAAAGAAATAAAACCAGGTCATAAGGATGTTCCAGGCAGAAAGAGCAGTAGGTACAAAGACTCTTGAGTGGAAACAAGCCTGGTAGGCTGAAGAAATGGAAAGAAAGCCAGAACTTGGCAAGGAGTGGTGGTAGACAAGTTATTGAGCTAGGCAGGAGTGGGTCACAGAGGGCCCTGCTGGCTGGGGGTAGGGAGGATGGATTTAAAACTAAATGCAGTGACAGCTGTTGGAGAATTTTATCTGGTTGGATTAAAGGAATGTAAGGGGCAAGGAGAGAGAAAAGATAATTATAAACTTTTGATTCTGTGTGATTTGAAATATGATGGCACCATGGACAGAAACAGGAAAGTTGGAAACAAATTTGGTCTGTGTGGTTTGGGATATTTTAAATTTTAATAGTTTCAAACTAGTAATTAAGATGCCAAGGATGGAAGAAAGAAAGGAAGGCAGGAAGGAAAGAAGGAAGAAAGGCAAGAAGGAAGGAAGCAAGGAAACTGATAAAAATCAAACAATAAATTGACCAGAGAGTTCAGAAAGAAAAACAGGGGGAAAAAGAGTGTACTATAAAAAAGTAAGGTTTCTATTTGTCTCCTATATTGTTTTTATCATTGTCTCCTTCCTAAATATAGTCTTAACCCTTTTAACATAAAATAATGACACAATTTTAATATTCTGTGCTGTAAAGGGTGGAGAGTACACCCACATCTCTGAGATTGGAAGTTCAGCCTTTTTTAGTGCTGCAAACATGAATTGGTTTAATAAAGAACTCCAATTTAACTATCTATAATGTGGTCTTTAATTTTAAGCACAATACTAAAACCTAAACCCTTTATGCTAATAAGTATATCTAAGAAGAAATAATTGTAGCATAACAATACTTTTGACTGTAGTTCTATTTTTAGTTTCAATTTCCCAGTGACTACTTTTGGAGAGAAGTATTATTTCCTTCCTGAAGTTTTCCTTTTTTCTCTTTTGTAAAAAAAAAAAAAAAGTCATACAAAACAATATTTTGTCATCTGACGCATGTAACTGTGATAATTGGTTGTTTACCCCATTGGTTTCTCCAGCTCACTTAAAATATATCTTACAATTTTATTTTCATACTTAAAAGCTATTGTTATATGAAAAAGACATAAAATCCTATTTGGAAAAGGTTTGCTGTTGCTCAAAGTTGGTAATTTCCCAGTTCACTTAATATTCAGAATTCTATTACTTCGAGAGATCACAGGCAGGGACACAATGGAGGAGGCTGTGCAGGATTCTCAGGAGTGACACAGAGGAGGGGCTGGCCCCAGAGTTAGCATGAGATAAAATATAGTGCCTTAAAGGTCACCGTCTCATTAGGGTTGATAAAGGATCCGTTCATTTCATTGATGTTCCATATTTCAGATCGAATTTGGAAGGAGGACCATAATGGATATAAATATTTACATATATTGTAAAGGCCATTATCTCCACTCATTTTCAAAGCAGATTTCTCTAACAATCTCTGTGAAACATTCTCAGCTGTGATAGTTCATAGTTTAAAAGTTAATATAACAATTTTGAAAGGAGCATTGTAGGTCGTCTTTTCTACAAGTTTCATTGTATACTTTCTCCTTCAGCTTTGGGCCAAAGGGTAAGAAATTGGGTTTGAAAAAAATATGTGGAACTGAGAATAGAATGTAATAAAGGGGAGAATGGGTTCCTTTCTTCTCCCCATTAAATGCACATTCCCGACGCTCAAAGAGAAGTAAAATAGCTTACATTTCTGTGTGTGGTCTTATTTTCCTTGACTGTACAGATGTGTTTTTTTATACTTTGTAAATGAAAGATATCAACTTGCAACTATGTCCTCTAATATGTTTTACTCTTTCTTTTCTTTCTTTTTTTTTTTTATTCTTTTGTAACTAGGGAATCCCTGGGTACAAGGGTGAGAAGGTAAGTTGGTAACAATGAATAGATGGGCCAGGATTTCAGAGAGAAAAACAGAAACACAACTGTATTTATGTACTTAATGAAAGTTGTTTTCCTTTGTTTTCCTAGGTCTAGATTCCCTAATTCCTAAGTATACTCTTAACTCTGTGAACATAAAATAATAATAAACTTAAGGTGAGGAGATGTGTTGTAAGGGGTGAAAGGCATTCGAAAATTCCCAAAATTAGGATCCAGCCTCTCTCGGCTCTGCAGACACGAGAATCCCTATTTAACAACCATGTAGCACAGATATCCAGACTAAACGTTTTTACATAAAAATGGATGCAGCAACACCACAATTAGGTTTCTCCCTTGGTGCTTAACTTCCTATGAAAGCTAGACACTGGAACCTAGACACCAGACCGTGGAAGCAAGAGGATTTAACCTGGTTAAGTAATAAGGAACCTCTTCATACAGTCAGGCATCTGGGTAGAGCTTGCAAGGGGAATAAATTTGACAAACAAACAAAAGTTAGGGGCTGGCAGACTCTTTTATGATTGTTTACAAATTAGAAGTTTTCAAGGTGGATGGGGGCTCAAGAACGGTGTTGACAGTGCTCAGGCTTCATTCATAGATTTTTGAAAAATATTTGTTTACTTATTCTTGAGAGAAAGAGCAAGCACCCACGAGAAAGGGAGACACAGAATTGGAAGCAGGTTTCAGGCTCTGAGCTGTCAGTGCAGAGCCAGACGTAGGGCTGGAATTCACGAACTGTGAGATTATGACTTGAGCTGAAGTCGGACGCTTAACTGACTGAGCCACCCAGGCTCCCCAAAGGCTTATTCCTAGATTTATGCCACAGTTCTATTACCAGATTCCCTACCAAAGCAGAGCGTGCCTTCCTTGTTCATCTGGTCTACAACCCTCAGACCCGGAGCAAGAGGTCTTGCTCTGGGTCTCCTATGGCCTTCTGACCCCCGATGGATCCAGGAAGCTGCAGGACATGAGACTTATGCCTCCTTAAACCTGGACCATGCTTTAGGTAACCAAGACCCCAGAAGTCCCTGCAAAATGCCCTGAGCCTGCTTTGAAAGGTGGAAACAAATATCTTTCCTATGACCATCTTTTGCCCAGGCCTGAGGGGGAACAACATGCAAGTTGCTTGTTGGGGCTGGAAGGGGCCCTGGTGGGAGGTTTATTGTATTGTACTGCCTAGGGAACCTTCTTGTGCATTTGTTCATCCTCTCCTGGGAGGAACCAGAGGTGGGGAGAAGCCAAGTAGGAGCCGGGCTATAGGCTGTGGGCATGGGGTTGTACTAGCACATGGACCGCGGAGAAATACCAAAATTCTTTCGTTTTTATTCCTTTTGATACTTGTCGAAAATGGAAGCTAGACCATTACTAGGTTGGTAATTAGCTCAATTTATAACTTTCAGCTCTTTAGATACATGGTATGTAGGCCTCTGCTTACACTCTTGCCCTGGGCCCTGCAAATATTAGAGGTGAGTCTCCATACAGGCAAATAAATTTAGCCCCAGTCATTAGAAATGTTAAGTGTCTGTTTCTTAATCCATATGGAGCTGGATTCATATAGGCCTCCCTAATTTACAGGGTGGTTGGAGAAGCAAATGGAATAATGGATGTGACAATGTGTTATGAGCTCTTTGCTGGTCTATAAAATGTAAGGTGCTGCTATAAAGAGGCAGGGAAAAATGATAAAATAGGGAAGTTAAGAAAGTTTCATGACTGTAAACTTGTCCTGTATATAGTTGAAGAAAATTATTCAGGTCTCCTCCATCTTGATTTATAAAATGAGCTACTCACTATATGTATACATACTATACACATACGTATATATATATGTGTATATATACATGTATATATACGTATATGTATACATGTATATATACGTATATGTATAGTATGTGTATATATATATAATATAGTATACTATAAATATAGTATATGTATGTAGTGTATATATATGTATTTTTATATATTTATATATATGAAGAGATTATTTAATCTTCTGCAAAATTATAGAACCACTGGTGGAGTTCTTATTTGGAAATACAAGTTGTCAGAGTAAAGTGACCCTGAACCATTGACATTCAAACCAGAATTTCACCAGGAACAGCAGCATCAGAAATCAGGCTGGGAACAGAGCTAATCTGTTCATAGCTTTCTGAAGCACTTGCTCTCTGAAATTGTAATTGTGGCCATTCCACAGGGATTACTGAGCCCACCAAAAAAGAAAACGCCTTTGCAAAGGCGAATAACATGAGTACAATATTTTCATTGATGGAAGTCTGCCCCCAAAACAAATGCTGTTCCTCAGGACCCTATAGCTAACAAATCTGTCTGGACAAATGGAATGTGAATTCTGGCCAAAAGGATTTTGAGTGTATTTATGGTACTTCTCTGTTTTATATTTTGCTGGTTGACTCATTTTATTCCCATCCAACATTATTAAATTAATTGCTTTCTAATTGACTCTTCAAGAGTGATTTTCCATTTGCATTCAGAAATAAATGTTCAACTTGTTCTAAGGGAAGGCTCAGTTTTTCCTGGGTCAGTTTGACTCACAATATGATGTGGAGAGAGAACAGATTGCTTTTGAACAGAGGCATAGCTGGATCTAGGAATTGTACCTCCCTCTTCCCTGCTCCCGATGCCAGCGACACCCCATGTAGTACTCTAGGCTAGTGGAAAGAAACTTGGAGACCATGGTGGTATGCCTTGTTCAGCTTTCAGTGGCTGATGACCATGGACTTGGAAATCTAGCAGATTCAAGCTTGTGGTCATGGGCAAGCTATTTAATCCCTCCGAGCCTCCTTTTCTGCATCTATGAATGGAGATCCATCTCTCTCTAATCTAATCTGCTGTGGAGATTAGTAGTAATGTAAAGGTTTGGGCTTTGGATCCATAATTAGTGGTTACAGTGGTTATGTCCCTTCTGAGAGCAGTGCTATTCAACATGTGGTCTACAGGCTGGCTGTCAACCTGTCAACTGTTTGTTGGTATTTTGTGATGAGATAAAGCTTGTACCAGAATATAAATCCACTGTGTCACTAAATACACTGCTTTAGTTCCGTTGACATTCATTTTTCACAGCATGACTTCTTTAATAAAGGAAGCAGGGCAGTGATCATTGTAGTGCAAGTTTCTTATGTCACTGTGCGGTGGCACCTTGAAAAGCATGCTTGTAGCACATGGATGATAAAGCAGGAGCAGAAACAGATATTGGTAGGGAGGGCACTGGAGTAGGAGTCACTGGCTGCCATGTGCATTTAAGTAATTCATTTAACTTCTCCAACTGAGTTGCCGTATCTTAAAAATATGAATTGCTTTCAAGGAATATAGTCAGTGATACTGTAACAGCATTGTAGAGTAACAGATGGTAGCTACACTTGTGGTGAACATTGCACAATGTATAGAGAAGTTGAATCACCATGTTGTACACCTGGAGCTAATGTAACACTGTCAATTATGCTCAAATAAATATTTCTTATTTGGTTTTATTTTGAATTTAAATCCAAGTTAGTTAATATATAGTGTAATAATAATTTCAGGAATAGAATTTAGCGATTCATCACTCAAATATAACATCCAGTGCTCATCCCAACAAGTGTCCTCCTTACTGCCCCTTGCCCATTTAGCCACCCCCCATCCACAACCCCTCCAGCAACACTCAGTTTGTGCTCTGTATTTAAGAGTCTCTTATGATTTGTCTCCCTCTCTGTTTTTATATTATTTTTGCTTCCTTTCCTTTATGTTCATCTGTTTTGTTTCTTAAATTCCACATATGAGAGAAATCATAGGATATTTATCTTTTTTAACTTTTTTCGCTTAGCATAATACACTCTAATACACTCTTGTTCTATCCACATTGTTGCAAATGGCAAGATCATTCTTTTTGATTGCCAAGCAATATTCTGTTGTATATATATATACCACAGTTTCTTTATCCATTCATCAGTTGATGGACATTTGGGCTCTTTCCACACTTTGGCTATTGTCAATAGTGCTGCCATAAACATGTGTCCCTTTGAATCAGCACTCAAAGGGTGTCCTTTGGATAAATACTCAATAGTGCAATTGCTGGGTCGTAGGGTAGTTCTATTTTTAATTTTTTGAGGAACCTCCATACTGTTTTCCAGAGTGGCTGCACCAGTTTGCATTCCTACCACCAGTGTAAAAGTGTTCCTCTTTTCTGCATCCTCACCAATATCTGTTGTCGCCTGAGTTGTTAATTTTAGCCATTCTGACAGGTGTCAGAGGTGGAATCTCATTGTGGTTTTGATTAGCATTTCCCTGATGCAGAGTGATGTTTAGCCTTTTTTCATGTGACTGTTAGCCATCTGGATGTCTTCCTTGGAAAAGTGTCTATTCATGCCTTTTGCCCTTTTCTACACTGGATTATTTGTTTTTGTTTTTTTTAAATGTTTATTTATTTTTGAAGGAGAGAGAGAGAGAGAGAGAGCATGAGCAAGGGAGGGGCAGAAAGAGGGAGACACAGAATCTGAAGTAGGCTCCAGGCTCTGAGCTGTCAGCACAGAGCTTGACATGGGGCTCAAACCCAAGAGCTGTGGGATCATGACCTGAACAGAAGGCAGACACTTAACAGATTGAGCCACCCAGGTGCTCCTGGGTTATTTGTTTTTTAGGTGTTGAGTTTGATAAGTTCTTTATAGATTTTAGATACTAACTCTTTATCTGATATGTCATATGTAATATCTTCTCCCATTGTGTCAGTTGCCTTTTAGTTTTACTGTTTCCTTTGCTGTCCAGATTTTTATCTTGCTGAGGTCCCAATAATTCATTTTTGCTTCTGTTTCCCTCGCCTCTGGAGATATGTCAAGTAAGAAGTTGCTATGGCTAAGGTCAAAGAGGTTTTTACCTGTTTTCTCTTTGAGGATTTTGATGCCTTTCTGTCTTACATTTAAGTCTTCCATCCATTTTGAGATTATTTTTGTGTATAGTGTAAGAAGTGGTCCAGTTTCATTCTTCTGCATGTCGCTGTCCAGTTTTCCCAACACCATTTGCTCAAGATAATGTCTTTTTTCCATTGGATATTCTTTCCTGCTTTGTCAAAGATTAGTTGGCCATATGTTCGTGGGTCCATTTCTGGGTTCTCTATTGTGTTCCATTGATCTGAGTGTCTGTTCTTGTGCCAGTAACATACTGTCTTGATGACTACAGCTTTGTAATACAGCTTGAAGTCTGGAATTGGGATGCCTCCAGCTTTGGTTTTCTTTTACTCATTTATTTTTAATGTTTATTTATTTTTGAGGGAGAGAGAGTGGGGAGGGGAAGAGAGAGACACACAGGATTTGAATCAGGCTCCAGGCTCCAAGCTGTCAGCACAGAGCCTGACACGGGGCTCTAACTCACAGTAAGGTCATGACCTGAGCCTAAGTTGGATGCTTAATCGACTAAGTCACCCAGGTGCCCCAGTTTTGTTTTTCAGGATTGCTTTGGCTATTGCAGGGTCTTTTCCAGTTCCATACAAATTTTGGGATTGTTTGTTCTAGCTCTGTGAAGAATGCTGGTGTTATTTTCAGAAGGATTGCATTTAATACGTAGATTGCTTTGGATAGTATGGACATTTTAACAATATTTGTTTTTCCAATCCATAAGCATGGAATATTTTTCCATTTTATGCATCTTCTGAAATTTTTAATATATTCTGTAGTGTTCAGTATTTAGATTTTTGACCTCCTTGGTTAGATTTATTCCTAGGTATTTTATGGGTTTTGGTGCAATTGTAAATGGGGTCAATTCCTTGATTTCTCTTTCTGCTGCCTCATTATTGGTGTATAGAAATGCAACTGATTTCTGTACATTGATTTCATATCCTGCAACTTTGCTGAATTCATGGATCAGTTCTCACAGTTTTTTGGTGGAGTCTTTTTAGGTTTTCCACATGGAGTATCATGTAGTCTGTGAAGAGTGAAAGTTTGACTTCCTCCTTGCCAGTGTGGATGTCTTGTATTTCTTTGTGTTGTCTGATTGCTGAAGCTCATATAAAAAAATATTTTTTAATCAATTGCTTTGAGGCTCAGATAAAAGTATGAAAGTGTTGAAAATGCTAACTTTAGCTGTTTTTCTAATTGCCTTTGATACCTTTTGGTTCTAATTATGCAAAGTCTTAGAAGTCTGATACAATGGATTAGCATTCAGAGGTCCCAATTCTCATTCTACATGAGCAAGATACTTAACCCTCTGAATCACAGATTCTCTGTCTGTAAAATTGGGCTAATAATATCTGTGTCAGAGAGTTCATGTCAGCTTATGTGAGATAATGTCTGCTAAATAACATCAATCATAAACTGTAAAGCATAATTTAAATGTTAGTTCTCTTTTCATTAATATGCCAGGAAAGGCAGGGCAGTAGAGTGTGGTGATGGAAATATATAGTATGTTTGCCACCTTGCCCGTCCCCAGAAGACCTTGCTAACTCCTCATGGCTCCTTTCCCCACCAAGTCGAGATGTGGTATCAGGACCTTTCCCTCATAGTTCTCTAGGCAAACACTAACAATTGATCAAAGGCGGTACTCAGGCTGGAATACAGTGCGGAAAAAATAGGGACTCTGAATCAGAGCTGCTTATTTAAGGGAAGTTATCTTGATGAGCTTGTTTTCTCATCTTTAAATACAATTGTAAAACTGATCTCATTGAGCTGTAATGTGGATTCACTTAAATCACATATGCAAAGAGCATATGGTAGATACTCAGTAAACCTTAGTTTCTTTCCCCTAAATTTCATCTACTTTTCAAAAATGTTAACCCTTACTAGGTGGTATCACTGCTTTGATGCTGTCAAGTGAAAGATGACTCGTGGATAAAATGTTTCAGAGTGCAGTGCCCAAATAACCCACAGGATTGTGGCTAAAATTCTGTGTAACCCAACAGGGTGCTCATGTTTTAATAAGCCTTTTTAAAACATCCTAACTCTAAATGACTGCAAAGGTCTTCTTACTTATTTCATTTCTTTATTTTTTTAGGGTGAAAATGGAGAATGTGGCAAACCAGGAATAAAAGGTGACAAAGTAAGGAACATGTTTTTAAAATGCTAACAAGCTGGGAAAGCTGGGATCTGTTTGGGGCTGGAAAGTTATTGGCTCAGTTTTCCCATATGTAAAACATGAAACAGAAAACAAAGCCATACCTAACTTTAGTTAATGGAGCCCCCACATACCTTTTGTATGGACCTTTAAAACTTTGCTTTGTGGCCCCTAACCTCTGAGGCTAAGCCTACGGAATGTTATGACAAAAAGGATAATTTAACCAGCAAAGTCAGTTCAAGCTCCAATCGGTCTTTGCATCTGGAATTGTTTTCCAGATGTAAACACTGACAACAAACACTTTACAAAATAGAGTGAAGAACTCTATGGAATAGGTTAATGAAATAGTTATAAATAATGTGGCAGAACTAGGCGTAGATAGCAGTTTGAAATTTTGAATTGCAGTAAGCCACAGGCAATTGGGTAGGTATTAATCTTTCACTAAACAATAAATATGAATAAAGTATTTAAAATGGAGACAGTATTAAATACATTAAGGAGTTCCTTAACAGGTCAGAAATAGTACTTTTGAAACATAATGACAAAGGATCCAAAAATGTACAGGATAAAACTAGTTTTCATTATAGTGAAAAACTATTGGCAGCATGCTACCAAGATACTCAACTCATTCAATATCTGTATTTTAATTATGGGAGAGAGTCAAGGGGAAAAAATGAGACAGAAGGTGAAAAGTAGAAAATAGGATAATGATACCGGCCTGTGTAACCAAGCACTTTAAATAGCTTGAGACTTTGAGAAAGCTTTTAACGTACTGTGGAGTTAAAGGCCAGGTGGATCTGAAAAAAATGTAGGCTTGATAATTATCTCTGGGTAAAACGAAAACTGTAGAAATGAATGGATTCTGCCTGGAGGGTAATTGAAATTGGGAGCTGGACACAGACTTGAAAATACAGAAGGGGGACAGAGAAGAACAAAAATGAAAGTTAAACAGTAACTGTTGAAAACTATTTGAAATGAGAATGGTTGACAAAGAGTTCATATCATATTTCATTGACTAAGGTGCCAGGGATTGTTAAATGCCTTATTATTTTCTGTGCCAAAAAGAAAGAAAAAGTGCTGCCAATTACAAACAGAAGATGCAATTGATTGTAAGATGTATCTTGGGATTAGAGATATAAAGATCTGAAAAAAAATGCATGTCTAGCGTCAATGAAATATGGTGTCCTTGACATGAAGAGTTCATAAAAGTTTATAAGTCAAACATGTAAAGAACATGAAGAGACACAAGAGGAAATATAAATGGCTAGTAAATGAAAAAATACATTAGAGATCAGATAAGTGAAATTAACACATTAAAATATTATTTTACTTATCAAATTAGCAAACACTGAGATAATATATAATATTCAGCATTGATGGGGAGTCTGTTAAGGTGAAGATACACTTTCTCTACTCAGGTAGTAAGAATGGAAATCGGAACAAACTCTAGAGAGGAACATTTTGCTTTTTCTTTCCATGTATGGTGTGAGACACAAAAGAGAAAGAGTCTTGAATGTGCTCATCATCTTAATGTCTATCATCCTCTTCCAGGACACTGTCTTTAGGAATTTTTCAGAAGTTGAAAATGACTTATGAACAAAGATATTAATTACAATATTATTTAAAATAGTAATAGTCAGAAACAATTTAAATGTCAAAACTAGAGAAATAAATTATAATAGATGCATACTCTTGAATATTTTCCCATTTACTGAGAGTTTTTAATTACATGGAAAAAATATTTTTGATACAATGGAAGACCAAATAAGTAGGTCACAAAATTTCAGACACACTTGAATAAATTATCTGAAGAAAAATATTCTATATGCCTAAAATGTTAACAGCAGCTGGTTCTGTGTGATTTTTTTCTGTTTCTTTGCTTCTTTTCTTTAATTGCCAAGGTGTGTCTATTATGAACAGGTTATATTTTGCTAAACAGAGAAAAGGTGAAAATCTAAGAAAAGAGGGACTAGGCTGTATTATACTCTCATAAAAATAAATTTCAAAGGGTTTCTTAGTTATGAAACATATTGAAATACCTTCTATTAGAGAGCATTGAGTATAAACATTGTTTTGTCAAGTTGCATGTCTTGAAGATGGGGAAAAGAGCGATCTAGATATTGTGGAAACTCACTAAATTGTTAATTTAACTGACTGCCTTGTTGGAAAGAAACAATATTCTACCAAGTGTTCTTCTAAAGAATCTTAAGGAACAAATTATTTGCTCTGACCAAAATTTCAATACACAGATGAAGGACTTACACCTAAAATTGTGTTTTCATGGAGTTTACTGAAGAAAAATTTGACCTCAAATTGGCTTATTATTTAGGATCATTTTGTTAACAATGTATCTGTTTGCTTGGCCATCACTGAGAACACATTCTCTCCTCCTCCACCTAAAATCATTGCACTTTGAAGATGGATATTTAGAACAACTTACCATTAATTTTATTCCACAGGGATCCTTAGGGCCATATGGACCAAAGGGACCCAGAGGACTTCAGGTAAGGAGGATAAACCAAATCTACAATGGAATTAGAATCACCTAGGAAGCTTTAAAAATCTCTTTGCCCATTTGCTCTCTCTACCAATTCAATCAGAACGTCTAGGGATTGGAGCCAGGCATCAGCAGTTTTAAAGATCCCCAGGTGATTTCAGTGTGCAACAAAGTTTGGAAATCACTGCCCTAATGCTTTGAAAGACTAATTCAGGCTCCCCCACGATAGGTACCAGCTGCTGAGTTTACTTAGTAGAAGGATAAAAGTTTAACTATTTGAGTCTAGGAAGATGAATAAAGTCAAAGTAGTGAAAAGCGGGCTGTAACTATTTTTGCTTTGCTAGTGTAATATAATTGGAAGAACTGTGCATTACATTGTAATTTAGCTAAAACAATAATAACATGTTCATTATAAGTACTTAATGCTCCATAACATGGAATAGATTTTGAAGACATTTATATAGGTTAAACATATTCCATAGATTTTAGAAAATAATTTAGATCCGTTTTCTTTCCAGTCTGGGAACTTGCACAGTCTAAAGTTTTCACGGACGGAGGATGTATATATATGAAGAATTCATTTCCGCATTTCAAAAAGTCCACTGAAAATTACAACTTGACGCAAGATTTCCTAGACAACATCTAGCTAACCGTCAGTCCTTTGCTCTGACCTGGAATTGTGTCAGCGCAGGGCAGTAACTCAGGTTATTATGGGGTCATTAGAACCTCCAACTTTCAGTTATAAATGCCTTAGCTATTTAAAAAAAAAAAAGTTGTTCTTTCCAAATTCTTCAAAAAGTGTGTCTGGCACAGGGGTAGGGTTGGAAACAGGCTTAGAAAGCAAACACCTCATTAATAAATGTTTGTTCTCAGCTTAAGTACTATTTTAGAAGCTGCCTACTTGACAGGAGAAACTTTATCTCATTCCATTTCTCAGTCACATTTAACCCTAACTTAATTCAGATATATAGTCTGACTTCTAAATTCAGGATCTCTAGGGATCTTAGTGAATGATTCCTTCCTGTTTGGCCTTTTATATATAGAACTAATTGTTGGTTTTCACCTCGGAGCAGGGCATTAGTGGACCTCCAGGGGATCCAGGCCCGAAGGGATTTCAAGGCAATAAGGTAATAAAACCGTTTGATTAAAAAAGACAGGCAGAGTGCCTTTCCCCTGGCGAGCTATAGGAATGTATGTTCTTATTAAGCAGAAGTCAATGGACTCTTTGAGGATGTATTTTTGGCAGTACGTAATAACCTGCAGGTATATACACAGAATCATGTTCAAGTACATGCAAGACATCAGTGGCATGGTTTTATCATTTATTATTATATTATTCAGAGGGGTATTATTAAATAGAAGCCATTATTCAGAATCTTTGCAGTATTTCCTTCTTTCTCCTGCCCTAGAGTCATTTTGTGGTTCACTAGAAGCTGAGAAGTAGTAACAAGCAACAAATTCAAATCATTCTATTTCCCCATTTATGATGTCAACTCAATATGTCGTTTATAAGAGAAGGAAATTTGTGACTGTCATGCCAACAATGTTCAAGCTTTTACAAATTATTACAGGGTGTCATCTCAACCATCAGTACCATGCTTGTAATGTCATTCCACAGATAACCAGGCAAGACAGATCGGGAGGAGTTGAATAAGAGCCAAATAGAACCAAAAGATGCTCTGGCTGGGATCTTTCACAGACCTGGATAGGCTCTGCTTTGTAATCAGAGTGGCCATTAATTTGCTGAAAACAAGCTTTTTAGTACCTTTTAAACTTCTCAATGCTTAGTAAATTTCATGGATATGTAAGTATCCAACAAATAGTGTTGTTAGTGACTTAAAGATCTGTGGAATTTGTGGCAGTAATAACAGCAGAAGGTGTCATCCTCAATGGACCCTCGATAAAGCCAATCTTTTAAGGGTACTATCAGATTCAAGCTGTGGGGAGCAGTTGGGCTACTTGAGTGTTCTTTTTCCAGAGAGAGGGAAGAGAGTGACAAGCATAGTATTTTTAATGAGATAACAACAACCGACGACAACAACAACGTGTGATTTCCCAGGCCACTTTTAATTGGCAAATTAAAATAGAATGAGCTTCTCAGCGGGAGTGTGCTTAAGCTTCATCTGGGAAAACTGCCTTTTCCAGTCCTTGCCTATGATTAATTCTCTCTGGGGAAAAGAAATGGATCTCTTGAATACTGAGTAGAAGTTTTTCTAAAATTGCTTTGGTAGTCGATAAAATCCAGCAGCAAGAATAAAAAACATTTTGACAGTCCACACTTATTTGTAGGATTCTTTGGTTACCTAAGATGATCATTTTCATGTTTGTGAAAAAGAGGCTTAAAATCAGATATCAGTGGGGGCACCTGGGTGGCTTAGTCGGTTAAGCGTCCGACTTTCGCTTAGGTCATGATCTCGCGGTTCGTGGGTTCGAGCCCCGTGTCGGGCTCTGTGCTGACTNTGATTTTGGAAATGTTAGTCTATGGGATTGAGATATTGTTTGAAAAACTTAATTCAAATGTTAAAAATTAACTTTTTATTTTTATAATTATAAAACATAATTTGTATATCTTTTATACAAAAATTAATAATCCAGGGGCGCCTGGGTGGCTTAGTCGGTTAAGCGTCCGACTTTCACTTGGGTCATGATCTCGCAGTTCGTGGGTTCGAGCCCCGTGTCGGGCTCTGTGCTGACTGCCAGCTCAGAGCCTGGAGCCTGTTTCAGAGTCTGTGATTCCCTCTCTCTCTGACCCTCCCCTGCTCACGTTGTCTGTCTCTCTCTCCTAGAAATAAATTAAAAACATTAAAAAAAATCAGATATCAGTGTTGGAGTTTCTAACAGTGATAGAATTATAGAAGATTCGAGCCACCAAGTATATGAGGAGATCACACTGGCCCAAAGTTTTCATTTTGGAAAATGAGAAGTGAAGTCCAGCTATCAAATGGCCTCCCAAAGGCAGAGGCACAGCCAGGCTCATCAGCTCTGGGGAGGACCCGTGCAGGGCTGAGAACAGGGCATGTAGCATTGGGAGATGGTTAGTGGCAGTCCATAAAAAGGTGTCATCATTTGCTCACTTATCTTTATCTCTCATAAATTACTATTTAGGTTTTTCTTTTAACATAAATTTATTTAAACAAAATATAGCTTTTCATTCCACCAGTGCATTAATTCTTAGAAAGAATAAATCCAGCTGTGTGTTTAGGGGAGCTTGGAGCTTGTAATGTTCTGATGTAATAACACTTCATGCTTGACTTTCACATCATCATTAAGAGGAGTAATTTTTCCAAAAGCATTTGAGAACTTCATGAATTTTCCAAGATCCTCTCTGAAAAAAAATTTTTTTATTGTGGGAAAGGATACATAACATAAAATTACCACTTAGGATTTGATCACAAAATTCACTGCCAGGTGAATATACAAAGTTCATTGCCAATTGAAGATGCCAATTTCTAAAGAATGTTGTGGGTTGCTAGAGGCAACTGAGGTAGTAGCGTGGTTTTCTTTTTTCCTTCTCGTTTATACTTACAAATTTAGTGGTGTTTTAACTCTTCAAGATTACTACTAATTCCTACTTCTCTTTGGATCTGTCAATCAGAGGTGCATGTTGCATTGATCATTAAATTTTTTAAAAATTTTAGGGGTGCGCCTGGATGGCTCAGTCAGTTAAGCATCCAACTTTGGCTCAGGTCTTGAACTCACCAGTCGTGGGTTCAAGCCCCACGTCGGGCTCTGTGCTGACAGCTCAGAGCCTGGAGCCTGCTTCAGATTCTGTGTCTCTCTCCCTCTCTCTCTGCCCCTCCCCCACTTGCACTCTATCTCTCAAAAATGAAAAAAATATTTTTTTAAATTTTATACATTTATTTGTATATTCTCTTAAAAGTCAGGTTTCAGGAAATAATTTCATCTTGTGTCTCAGAATGTACTTCTAAATCTTAAAGACTTAATATACTATTTGTTCCTCAATCTGGAAATAATGTTATGTTTATAATCATACTTCATCCATTACCATTTTATTACAAAATATTCTTCAGAAATTATTATTGCAATTTGTGCAGAAAAACTCTAAAATCTAGTAATTCTGTCTTTTCTAATGGGCACTGGGAGGATTATTTATTTTGAAACTTCTGTAATAATCAATAACAAGGGAGTCTGGGTGGCTCAGTTGGTTCAGCATCCAACTTTGGCTTAGGTCATGATGTCACAGTTTGTGAGTTCAAGGGCTGTGTTAGGCTCTGTGCTGACAGCTCAGAGCCTACAGCCTACTTCAGATTCTGTGTCTCCCTCTCTGCTCCTCCCCAACTTGTGCTCTCTCTCTCTCTTAAAAACAAATAAATAAACAGTTAAAAAAATAATCGATAACACTTATTATATATGTACTATGTACAGATATATAGTTCTTTTTTTTAAAGTTTATTTATTTTGAGAGAGTGAGAGCACGTGTGGGAGGGGGAGAGAGACAGAGAGACAGAGAGAGAGAGGGAGAGAGAGAGAGAGACAGAGTGAGGAGAAAATACCAAGCAGGATCCACACTGTCAGTACAGAGCCCAATGTGGGACCTGAATTCATGAACTGCCGACAGACACTTAACCGACTGAGCCACAGCTGCCCCAACAGATATATAGTTCTAATTATTCATTTAATATAATACCACCCTTTGAGGCATAATCTAGACTTACCCCATGGTACATATTAGGCTACTCAGGCACAGAGAGTTTAAGCAATGGGTCCAAGTCCACATAGCTAGTAAGGGACAGAGCCAGGATTCAAACCCAGCCAGTGTGCTCTTAACCACTATATTATATTTACCTCTTTAGGAATATTGCTGAATTTCCTTGATGGTTGACCTGAAATAAACACATTTGTTTGGACAGTATGGAAATTGCGTCTGTCCCTCTTCTCGTGTACTCTGTCTGGAAATAGCAGTCTGTTGAGAGGTGTATTTCTATTTGGTTATAATGTTCATCTGAAAATGCAGGAAGAGAAGTAAGGTAATCACATGGGAAAAAGAAACCAGTACTGTGCACTTCAAATATTTTGTGTCTTAGGAGACCTTAAAACAGAAATCTTTAGACTTGTAACATTTGCAAAGACTCCATACAAATTTCTAGATGGGGCCTCTCTATGTTTTGAATTTATGGATCGCCTCTCTCATGAGCTATAGTCACATTTTATTGCTCTAGTAGTTGATGTTCTTCATCAGATGGTTTGCAGAAAGGTGGTCAAAGAACAGTAGGAAAAAATTGCATGTGATAAATCAAGGAAAAATGTGATTCTGGCCCAGTTTCACAAATCATTTCTGTTATTAATAATTCCACATGTAAAGTAGCTCCTATTCTTGTTGCCTAAGAAACAAAACATAGATGTTTCTCAGAAAGAAGCTGTGGCTCTGAGGCCACCTCAGTTTCCCCCATATACAGAGGCCATGCAATGGCATTCAGAAGGACATCCTATCAGTCTCCAAAATCAGTATTATAATCGCACAAGTGCCTGAGAAGCCTTATCCTGAGGACCAAATAGAAAATGCTATAACTCTGGAGAGAGCACTGTGCTTTTTCTGAGTAAAAATTGAATACCTAAGAGTCCTATACCAACTTCCAAGGGCTATTGTGACAGCTCAGATTGCAATTCCTTCTGTCCACAAATGGGCCCTCTAGTTATTATAACTAGAAAAAAAATGGCTCAAGATTGCAGGCCTTTCAATTCACAGAGAGCAAATTACAAAATCAGTTTTATACAAATAAACACAGTAGAATGCTGGGTGTGCCAAGCCCACATTAGGTAATTTTTGCCATTTCTTGATGTCTTTCTGATGTTATTTTTGAAGGGTATTTCCTTCTCAAATCTCATGCACATTGGCTCTTTCCAAGACCCTCTTTGTGCTCCTGGGAGGGATGACTGCTCACTGTGGCTTGAGCAGAAAATAGCTTGTGACAAGCTGAAATATCCTAGTCCTAGAGCTTCAGTGCTAGGGCCAAAAGAGCACTAGGAAAAATCTCTGATGTACTTTCCCAAGTGAAAGTACCACACGTTAATCCTCAATGAAAAATGACATTATGTTACATGTTAATTTATCCTAATGGATGGATTACCTCCCTTCTCGTAACCTCTCCCATTATTTTACTCTAGG